GGCTGCTGGATCGGCCAGAGCAGGCGCGTATCGGCCGATACCGATACAAAGGAAAAACGTGAATATCGGCCAAAAATATCGGCCGGCCGATGTATCGGTCGACCCCTAATCTCTAGTTTGTCGTTTCATAGATCAGCGAGTAGAAGCTGCAGCTATATGTATCTGCTTCTGTCTTTTGCATCATATTTAAATACAATACCAGATCATTGGACATATAGCATTTCTCAAGTGAGTAATTATCCACTTATGTAGTTGATAATTTTGTACACAAAATGATCAGATAAATAAAACAGCTGTTAAACTCCTAAAATCGAATTGTGGATAACAAAGATTGTGTTTTTTCAGTCCACCCACAAAATGTTAGTAATGGCTATGGCTGGGATGTTTTATGCACTTCACATTTCAGATTATGAATCAGATAGCTGCAATAAAATTATAAAACAATTCTTGATGCATCCATAATCACGCTTCAAACAAACTCATGGGCAGAGAATCTCTGACCTAAAATAAACAAAATATTTTTTTGCTCGACAGTGCAGCATACAACAGTTTCCATTCAAATAAGATTTTGGATAGTAAGTTAAATCATGAACAAAACAAAATATTGGACTTTTACAGGATTCAGTGGCAATGGACGTCATCATATGTTTGAACTGTCTGGCCTGCTTTCTTCAGGATTTCCAGGATTTTGCTTTTGGTATTACTGTTGAGCGTTGGAATGGCTCCATTTAATTATTATTATTATTATTATTATTAGTATTATTATTAGTATTAGTGTATCTTTGACAGGGTGATCATGTTCTATCTTGGTTCCAGAGTTCAACATAAGGTGGTATCTCAGAGTGCGGTGGTTGTTGGAGACTATTTGGGGACTGAAAATAATAAGGAAATGAATACATTTTCTATTGCAGATTGTCATACTGATTTAAAACAACCAGCCACATACACAGCACAGCCTATTTTTTTGTTTGCGGCTTTGAAATTTATATTTCGCCTTTGCACATTATTTGTTGTCCACCTCTGCCCACATCATACCTGCCTCGGCTCACTTTGTAACCACCTTTGCAGACGTCAACTCATTGATTGTTTAATCTACTGGAGTACACTTCTAAAATTTAAGATATGTAGATTTTTTAAAAATGTATTTTTATAAGTTTTTATTATTATTATTATTATGTAATTATTATTTATTGTGAACTCCCACAGACATTATAACACAATCTGTAGACTCCCCCAATAGTGCAGTTTTTCTACTACAGTGGTTTGCAAAAGTATTCATACCCCTTGAACTTTTCCATATTTTGTCACATTACAACCACAAACATAAATATATTTCACTGGAATTTAATG